TCGAAAATTTTCACGAGGGGTTTGATTTTAAGTGGAATCTGGGTTTCGTTGTGCCGCTCCTCAAGTTTCCTGTGCAAGCAATCTCGTGCCAAACCCGGTTTCGTCTGACTCAATCCTCCGACCGTGGAGATCTATCAGGAATTGGGGCGTCTGAACGGGCTGAGTCAGCAGAGTTCTTTTGGAGAAATTTTTAATTTCGAGTGCATCCCTTTTGCCAAATTATAAGTGGGACTGTCTTTTAGGGCAACTATTGGCGGCAATGAAGCGTTCGGTTTATGGATATTTGGCAGACCATAGAAGCGAGCCAGGGCAGTATCTGTTGCTTTCATCAGACGTTATTCATTCTCTGCGATCACATTCCGGCGTTTGAATGCTCCAAGTAATGTTTTCAACTGATTTGATACTGCTTTTGCTTCTGAGTCTTCTGCCTGTCTGTAGGACTTTCTGTCATCAAGCAAAGCTTTGACTTTCTCGTCATAGTCTTTTCGATTCATGACGGCCGTTGACCGTCCCTTATCCGCGGGCAGGATGATAATACGGTCGTCCGTCCTCAGACCTTTAATAGCTTTCGCCTCATTCTTCGACTCACATTGGGCTGTTCGGTGTGTCATCGGTAAGGAGGTGACCCGTTGTCGAACGGAATGTTTCTCGTCTTCTGTTGCTTCAGTCCTCACAAGCATGGCTTCTACGGCTGCAACGAAGTCGACAGGATCGGCATCGGCGGTGTTAGAACCCGCTTCATGCTGAAGCACTCGTAGTTGTCGTTCTGCTAATTGCGTGGAGGAGAGGCAATGGACCAAGTTTGAGTTTCCTGTGTTGGGTTGTTGTAGTTTATTCAGCTTCCGATCCAAGATAGCTCGTTTCTTGGCTTGTCTGAGATGCTCCAGCACAGCAAGCAAGGTCTTTAGTGATTGAATCACCGAGAACGCAGGCAAATTCTCTTCTGTTCTGCCCAAACACAGCTTTGTTTTCGCGTAAACGCTGGCGCTAATAATAGATTAAAGCTCTCGTCATCTGCTTTGTAAATCTCTGACGCAATTCCTCTGCCCGTGGATGTTTAAAAGGGTGATTTGTTTCTCAGGCATCTGGGTGTTAAGCCGTCTATTATGCATTGGTGCAAGAAAGGTAGTTGCGCGTACGTTGCTGCTTCTCGAGTAACGAATACCTCCAAGCTGCGGGCTGTCCGAAGAGCGTCGCCGGAGGATTGAATCAGACGAAGAGGTGGTTTACTTTGACGTGACATCACTATTTACATCCATTCCACCGGGTTTGGCACGAGATGGTTCGCACAGGAAACTTGAGGAGCGGTACAACGAAACCCAGATTCCACTTAAAATCAAACCCCTCGTGAAAATTTTCGA